TGTTAGTATAGATGTTGGATTCATGCACCCACACCCACACTCACCCCACACACCCACTCACACCCACACCCACACCCACACCCATACCCACACCCGCACACACTCACACCCACACCCACACTCACACCCACACACCCACACACCCACACACCCACACACCCACACACCCACACACCCACACCCACTCACACTCACACTCACACCCACCCACACCCTTAAATAAAAGAAAACAATTGGAAAGATTTATTAAATTTTTTAAAGTTTATATCGAATAGATTTAACTTATTTAAATATTAAGTACAATTTAAATCAATTAAAATCGTGTCAACGGGGTATTTAAATTTAAATTTGAAAGAGTTTAAATAATAAATATCTGGAGAGGAGATCAAACTCGTAATTGGGTATAGACACCAAGGGAAGGATAATTTTTAATTCATTGCAATGAAAAACTGAAAATTTAATTTAGTGAGTTTACGCGAGACTGTGAATGACAGTAGAAAAAACATTTATATCATTAGACTATATTTGTTGAACGGTTTGTACACATGTCTTCTACTCTTGTGTTCTCGTGTTCGAATTCATATGTTGACTTTATTAAAATTCATCTAAGTTATAGCTCTAAGGCTCTATGAAAAAATGTAAACGAATACATGAATTGTATCTGCAACTCAAATCGCGTGAAGTACTTGACGGTTTTCATTTTTTTTTCCATCTAGAATATATGACACCACAGTTAGAGAAAACGCTACGAAACGTTTTTCGAAGAATGATCGTTTCACAGCATTTGTGTTAACAAATGTGAAACGCGTTAAACCGGTCAGCGTTAACGCGTTTTTTTTTACAGAAATTTACGCCATGGGCGCACAAAATTTGATAATCAAAAAGTACGTTTACATTGACATTCTATCTTTATATGACCTACATTTTAATTGAAGTTATTTAGAAAATATTTTCTCGTAATTTAATAGAAAAATTTGGTGTTGACAGAACAATTGCAATACTACCCACTCAATTTAGCTTGTCAGTAACATAAGAGCATACTATTTTAAAAGTATATAAGTGAATACAATTTTCTTTTCTTTAATTAAAATTTTAAACATGAGCAGTTCACGTGCATCTTATTATCCCAATTTTTCGTCGTTGGATTTATATTATCTATCAGTTTCAAAGAATATTTTTCTGTATGGGTATATAATTATTCTAATCGTTGGATTTACCGGTAATATTTGTCAAATAATGACATTTTCACGTAAAACAATGAGACATACTAGTACTGGTATACTTTTTCTTGCATTAAGTATATCCGATACAATTTATCTTTTATTATCCATATATGTTACAATTGTTTTTGGTTTTCAAATTCCGGATCAATCAAATTATGCCAAAAATTGTCAATTTCGGCATTATATGAATTATCTTTCAACAAATTTTAGTGCTTGGATGCTTGCTACAAGTAATTCTTATGTGTATTTAAAATAGAAGAGATTTATTCTATTTTTCTATTCTAGTTTCATGCGATCGTTGGTTACGTTCACAATTTCCTACTAAAGCACAAAGATTTTGTACACCACGTACAGCTATTTATTCAATTATCATTGCTCTTATCCTTGATTGTCTTTTACATATTCATCTTCTTACACCAATGTTTGGTCAAATAGCACCAGGTATAACAACTAATTGTGGTCCTGATAGTCGTTATCCAAATTACACATATTTTTATAATACAATTTGGCCAGTTATTACTGTTCTTACTGTTACAATTATTCCAGCAAGTTTTATGCTATTTTGTCTTATAGCTATAATTATAAATGTACAAACACGTCGAAATCGAGTTATTGCTATCGAACAAACAAATGGAAATCAACAAGAAAGACGACGTGCACATTTTCTTCAACGACAAATGTTTATACTTATGCTTGCTGCTCTAATGTTATTTTTTCTTACAACATGTCCTATTGCTTTATTTTATTTTGTGATTTCTACATTGAATATTCAACAATCATTTTCTTTTACACTTATGTTGATATCTATATTGAATTTCGTAACATTATTAAATTATTCATTAAATTTTTATTTACATTGTTTAACGTCAAAATTATTTCGAAAGGAATTCTTTCAATATTTTCCATGCTCAATTTCAATTACTTTTCGTCGATCAAATCAAACTTCTAATGTAACTCATACTCAACGATATTTAACTCGACCACAACAAGGAACTGTTACACAATTAATGGGACAGTTCACAAATTCTAATGAACATGACAGAAATCGCATAACATTTATGTGAAATGTCTTTTGTAACGTAAAATATCATGTAGAAGTTCACAGTGGAATTTATTTCTTTAGTTCTATGTTATCAGTCAAACCATTAGATTTCCCGTTACAAAATAACAAAAAGAGAACACCCTTTGAATGTTGTACAAGTAGTGTCGTCAATTATATTAAATATTTTAATGTTATGTTGTAAGTGGAATATAATCAGATTAAAGCATCGCAATAAATAATGTGATCTGTTAATCACAAAACGTAAAGGTTTACTTCTCAAGTCTGGAAATTATAAATTCAAATGGTAGCAATTAAATAAATGAATTCTTCTTTGAGGACCTTGATAAATAGAAATTGTTACTTACATTCTACAGTATAGGCGCCTTTGCGGCTGACGAAGTAATTATCCAAACTACAAACCACCGTTTGAATATCTATTGGATCCATAAAAAGATCTTGATAAGACCAGAAAATGCCTACAAAGATCGGTCTCTATAGGCTTTTCTAGTCGAATTATGGTTGTTTTCCTCAAAAATCGAATTGCTAAAGTTCAGCGTGAAATTTTGTCTGAAGATACAACTAATGATACTTATAATATTCAGAAATTTTCAGTTAAAAAGATATTCTTTTATCGAGTTATTAAGTTTCAGATAGGTATGTAGAGGACATGTTGGTTTGAAAATAAGTGTTTTTGACCAAAAGCCAGCTGACAAAAACTAGCAAATTTATGATACTTTAAACTTCGATTTTTGAAAAGATGTTCAAAGATATGCGGCGCACTAGCAGGCAACGAGTTAGCAATTGCTTCCCCTAAAAAGAGTTTGGAAAAACAATAAAAATTTATTGCTTTCCATAATTGTTCATGTTCCATCTGTATGTTATTTCTCCATGTTTCCTGAACTTTTGATTATCAAATAACTTCAATTTGTACTTCTTTCTGCATTTGTCCATAATCATCGTATAAGAACGTACTCATAAAGAGATCAACTAGCTGCTAACATAAATAGTTCAGCAAACAGTTTCCATGAGAAGACCGCAATATTTTCAATTGATTCTTACGTTTATTGTTTCATCAAGAAGGAATAGCTGTTCAAATGGCAGTTAAACTTTCACACGAGTATCAACTCGAAAGCCAAATGACTGGTGAGCGAAAGGTCAGAACAAAAAAACTTGAATTTTGATAACACGTTCTGAATACATCTGTTCTCAATAAAAACGTCACACTACGCTGAAACTCCGACCTTTCTCCTCAAAAATCGATTCCAGAACCAAGTGCATTCGAATCGTCTGAAATTTTCAGACCATGTTGAGACTGACGTGGAGACCAGAGATGTCCATCGCGGCTGAAAATCTGCCGCTGCCGCGCCGCGGCCTTAGAAAAAAAAGCTGCCGCACCGCTGCCGCGCCGCGGCGGTTTATAAAAA